TGTTGGTTTCTCGTACATCTGATCTGAGAACGTCTGTCGGCTTAGCTTCCCTCAGGGGCAAAGATGGAGAAACGTTAAACATCTCAACCCCAATCAAGCTTTAGTGTAAGCTAAGTGCTAAGCTGCTCAGAAGTGTAAAACTGTGGCACTTTGGGGCAAGCCCTGTGAAGGGCAGATAACTCAAAGACCAGAGGACATGTGAGCCACTTTTGTTCTTCTGCCCTTAACATTCCTCCAAACTGTCCGCCTTGGTGCTTAAATCCTATTTTGGACCCAGTCCACAGGCTCTGGCCTAATACTGGGTTTCACTAAAGAGTTTATTCTTGTTTTTAAGCCTACTGCACAAATCAAAGAATTCCAGGTAAAATAAATTAACTGCTCCAGCAGGGAGCCACGACGGTTATCTTCATTCGCAACAATGCCACGTATCCATGGCAAACCGCCAGCTGCTCTTGATGTACTTATGAATGCCAAGAAAACTTGGCCTTTAATCAGCTAATTAACTACTAGTCTTATGATGTACGGCTCAGTTTTCCTAAGCCATTCCTTTGCCAAAGCTTATGTCTTAACATCTATTGCCTCCTGTGTAGCAAACGCGTTTCCTAGTCATTCTTCTATTTTGGAACTACTGTAATGCAGATCGAGGGCCGGACTCCGCATTCCTTCTTTAGAAATAGCAAGAAACATTTACTCTTCGAAACTTCTGCTGCTCTTCGGAGGCGATTACATGAGTATACAGAGCTGAGTAAGCGATTAACTTTTCAAATAGATGCCACGCAGCAGAGCAGAATAATCATTGGAAACTGAATTTAAGTATCATGTGAGTCCCCACTTTCTTAGTGCTTTAGCTGGAGTGTGAGAAGTTGAAGAGACCCACACAGATTTTTCAGATTGCATCATTACATCAGGGCTTGTTTTTAACAACAAAAAAAGATTTTCAAGGGAAATAAAAACTTTACTGTACTCCCAGAAACTTTACTTCTTAGAAGTCTGAGATTGCTTTCTGAGACTGCTTTCTAAGACTGCCCAGGAAAACTAAAAATATAACCATTGATGCTGGTGACAAATAATCCATGGCCAGTACAGCTACAGGAGGTTTAAATCAAAAGAAATTTGCCATAAAGATTTAAATCAGTGGAAGGGTAAACAGACGTGATTTTCAATAACATCACTCAAAACCATTTGTTGGGGAGGAACGTGTAGCTAGGGAATGGTGAGCTGACCCGATAGCAAACTTTTCAGAGTATTTGTCTCAGAGATGCCGCTTGATAGGCTTGAATTGTGTATATAGTCTGTACTATGGGATGCTATGAATAGAAGTATCTTGAAGTTCAGATCATGCAGAGGCAAGAGAAATACAGAATAAATGAGGCTATGAGTTGAGCACATAATGGAGCTTAGTCTTCAGTAATCTGCCTCCGTGGTTATTGGCAATGTCAGCATTAGCTTAAAAAAAGGATCCCCACGCAGTCACTGAGAACCGAAGTCTGCGACGAAAGCCAGAAGGCTCAGCACACGCTCTCCGATCGAAGCGTAGCCAAGGCATGCCCTCCTCTAGCAGCGGATGGGCAACCCGTAGACATCCCTCCCCAGTAGCACCTTCATACAAAGAAGCTAACACCAGAAAATATTTCCTGTCCTCGTTTCCCAGATCCTTCACAAGCCTCCTCCACCGCTTCCTGGCTGGGGTTCGGCGGGCAGCTGCCGGGGAGGCAGCGGGGATGCGGTGATGGAGCTGCCTGAAGGGAACAGGGATTTACTCCACCATGTCCACCGCTTTCTGACCGTGGTGCGGTCACTCTCCTCTCTTCTCATTTCTGGGGACCGTTGGTCCCACACCATCTGAGGACAGCTGCTTTCCCGCTGTCTGGGGTGCGTTGGACGAGCTAGGTAGTTTTACAGATAACCAATTTTCAGAATCACTTACTTGCTGCTGTGGGATTTCCTAGGAGCAACCTTTAACTAATACAGCCCTTCAGGAAATTGATTTTATCTGACCTGAAGTTAAGGCATTTCATAAAGAAAGCGTAAAGCCTGCTTTGTTTTGTCCAGACAACGGTTATGCACGTGAGCCCTGCCTTGCGAGTTCCTAGTGGGATGCTGAGATGTGTGCCTATGTGTCATACGCTGGGAAGCGATGGAAGTGGAGGAGCAGTGGTTTGATGAAGTGGTTGGATTTCTGAGGAAGACCCAGGCATGCAGCGTGATGCAATGTCGGTAACACGTGACACATGCAAAGTGACCAAACATGGCTAGGTCTGTTAGCGCTTGCATATGTACATAGCTATTTTTGTGATGTCTAACGAAGGTGGTGTTAACACAATCCTGTGGATAGCTTTTGAAATTTTTGAGGGTGGGAGTACTAACCAGCCAAGAGTCAGAAGGGCTGCTTACGGTTAACATCCCTGTCGTAATTTTCCATACTCCGCACATCCCATCAGAAGTAACTCGAAGGAAGTTTATGAGATTGCTTGCTTAGAAAGATTGTATTCTTTTATTTATACTTGTGTCATCAAATCCAGAAAATCACTGTGAGGTCTGGTAGCATCTGCTGGTATAGCATCACAGCCGTATCGCTGGCAGAGCTGCTGTTGTATGCAAATGGAAATAAATCATGCTCTGGCATAAGACATCTGTGTGCTGATACAATTGTGCCCACACTGGGATTAGTGCTGATGTAAGTATCTACGTAATAATGACACCCAAATACCAGAAAAGACCAAATGACACAGAATCTGCAGGCAGAGACAAGGCCTGAATTAATGCATTTTATACTGTTATTGGCACTGTCAACCTGAGAGTAATTTAGAACTCCTCCAGTAATCTGCTTTCTGCCTGATTTGTGTACTTTTTGGTACTTGTGTAAGAATTTCAGTTCAACTGCTTGTGTGGATTCAGTTCGAATTGCACTAGTATAAACGTATCTTACTTCCTATACAGCTCGCACTCATTTATTTAGACCAGTTATATCACCATGAAAAGGTATTTTTATTGGTGCCACGCACGTGCATTTTTCCTGAGTTTTGTTACTCATGCTGCTGTAGGTAAACCACTAACAGTTACATTTACGTAGCCTTTACCCTGTGTAAAATTACCCTTAGACTGAAAGGGCCAGATTCAGAAGTGGTACATGAAGGGCTAAATGGATATGAAGCCAAGCAAAAATAATTTTGAAGCTTAAGGACTGTATCTTCCTTGTTGAATATGCCCGAGATGTTTGACGCTATAACATTGGTCCAGAGGTGCTGAAAATGATACGAAGTTTATTTGCCTAAACAAAAATGGAAAAAAAATCGCATTTCCTTTAAAGTACTTGCAAATGGGCATCCTTATTCTGTACCTTCCCATAACCCATGCAGAGCCAGAAGCAAGGTCTGAGGAGCTAATTGGATGTCGAGGGTAGGAGCCAGTGGGTTAGAGAGAAAACTGTCTGCATATTGTCTGCATTGCTACAGAATGGAAGTTTTTCTTAAACCATGGGTTATACCTGTGAAAATTCCGGAATTGAAATACTTTTGAACTTCATTCCTTCTTTTCTTGTGAGGCTGTTTTGTTCATTGGTACTGCGGCATTTAAATCTTGATATTAAGTAGCACCAAGAGTGCACTTACCAAAAAGAGTTCCCAGATACCTGGAAGCCAGAACTGATCCCAAAATTCTTGCTCGGTATATGTATGTAATTTTGGCTTGAAAAATTCTTTATTTCATCTTGGGGAAAAAAAAATACACTTTTTTTTTTTTTTTTCCAAAGAGATGCTCTCTCACAGTATCTGTAAACTCAGCGTGTTTTTCTTTGACTTTAGTGAGATTTGAATCCTGTGCATTTTCAAGTTTGCCTGAATTTGAAACCTTCATAATCAGTGAACATTGTTGACCTGAAGCCTCATAGAGGAGGCTGATTAATTACAAAAGGCTTTGTAAAAGAAAGTCATTATAAGAAGGGATCTGAAGGGGAGCAGAGAGTCTTAAAAATGAAGGGAAAAAAAGGTACTCTCTGATCATTTTGATAATAACATTTGATAATACTGTCGTGCCTTGCAAATGACAGTTTCATTCATCCGCAGTGAAACGTTGAAGTGTTCCAAATAGCACGGTGCCTACTTTTCCTTCTCAACCAAAAAAGCATATATATGTACATTCAGACTAGTATTCTTCCCTCTGCTTCAGCAGAAGCACAGAAAAGTTACTGCTGATGATTAAAACGCTATGTCTGACCAAAGCTGCCTTCATCATTATCATAATTATCTTTATTATTAGCATTAGCATCCTCGAACAGAAAGAAAAAACCTAATGCTGTCTGCATGGTTTTTGGAGACAGCCTGTACCTACAAGTAGGAAACGTGATGGAGTTGTTGCGCTAGTACGACTTGGAGTGATGGGATTTTAGTCTGTCATATCGCTGACTCTTTAAGCAACCTCCGAGAATTGCTTAAATACTTGGTATTTTGGGTAATACTTTATTAATCATTGTACTACTTGACAGATGTGACACGAGGTTTAATATATAACAATCTCATTTCTTTAACTGCAAACGTAAGACTTGCCTTTGGAAAAGAAAGGCGATCTCTGGTTCAAGGACCGAGCAGGAACCTGAAGCTTTCTCTCTGTGCCTTGGTTCACCTTCTGTAAATAAAAAGAATATTGGATTTTCATTGTCAATGAAGAAATGCTGCCATGGCCTGTATTTTGAGTGCCTAACTCAATGCAAGTTTGAGCCTCCGTATGCGTTGCAGAAATACAAATTTAACTAACAATAATTAATTACAGAACGTATGCAAATCCTGTTAAAGTCAATGAAAATACTCCCGCTGACTTTACCAGGGGTGGGCTTGGGGCAGCGTGCTTTTAAACTCCATTGACATCTTCAGATGGAAGCTTATCTTGATGTTTTTATCCAGGTTCTGCTGTTTGCGAAGGGCTGGTGACTTTAACCGGTTGTTACCTATGGGTGTAAAAATTTATTTTAATGAATTTTTTTTTTTTTTTCCCTTCCTGGGCAGGATTTATGTGGGCATCATTCCTGTGATACTCTGGGAATGGCAGACGTTGGGACCATATGCTCTCCTGAGCGCAGCTGTGCAGTGATTGAAGATGACGGCCTCCATGCAGCTTTTACAGTGGCTCACGAAATTGGTATGCAGTGCCTTTTCTGTTCCCTTGCCAAATCAAACACTTGTAACAGCTGCATTAGTAACCAAAATACTTCGCAATTAATTCCAGATTTCCCCTGGTCCAGATACTCGCTTGGGGATTAAGGCTGTATACATAGGCACTTCAGGGTTAACTAATAAGGGATCAGAAGGCAAGTGAAGGCGCACAGTAGGTGTTTCCTTTCTGACAGTGTCGTTTCTAAGCAGTAGTTGAAGTGAAAATTCAAAGGCTGCTGCTACTGTCCAAAGATGCCAATGCGTGTCCCTCCTGAGAAAGCCCTTGGCCCATCTGTTGTCATTCCCATGCATTTAGTCCATACACAATGGACAATAACTCACCTTTTTGAACTACTTGCACGCTCTACTGCCACGAAACTTTTTCTTGGGACAACGTGTTACCTGCAGAAGGCGGCTTTTGTGGAAAAAAATAGAATTCTAATCTTCTTCTAAGTGTATGGAGATTTATGGTAAAATATGGTACTAATGTGAATCCTGAAATAGGTGAAACAATAGTATTTAGGTAATAAAGGTTTGGTCAAAAAAACTGTTTAGCTTTGTTTCAGTTTCCACCTCAGTGGACAGCCGTTTAATACAGGAACCTTACATGTACCCTTCAGAAGGATTTAAGATAGAATTAGTGACAGCAGAAAGTTCATATTCTGGGATATTATGTCTGTCATGATACATTCCTTCAGAGAGACTGCTGCCATCTTGATTAGTTTTAATCTAGTAATGTTTTGTGAGCTGTGTTCACTGGAAATACATTCTGTATGAGGGCTATTCACTTCGGTGAGTGAACAACAATTTAGCAGTGGAGAACGTTTGGGGTTTTTTTTGTTGTTTTTTTTTTAAACATTCTTGGAAGGAAATAACAAGGAAAGGAGAACTTTCAGAGAGAGCCAGTTGCTGAATTGCCTTATACCTCATGCCAAACCAAAGTAAAGTTTGCTTTGGGAGTATCATTGCAGTAGTTCAATTTTCAAGTAGCTAGCAGGTAAAGCCCAAGAATTGGTGTGCCGCATATATACCTCTGGCTCAGCAACCAGAGGTGACCAAGTATGAAAAAGCAGCTGGCATGTCGGTGACCTGACCCTTCAACGAGTAGCGCACCTAATCCTACTGCTCTTACGGTGCTACAAAGGAAGGAAATCAGTCGTGGCTGGAGAGGGATCACGTGTTGCATGAAAACATAAAATGTTGTGGCAGAATGAGTCCCCTAAAGAGAAATTTTATTTTAATAAACGAGAGTATAATTATAAAAGAAAGAGCCCTCTGAAATCACTAATTCAGAGCCTTTGGAGATAAGTACAGCAATACATCAAATACAGCTTCACATCAGATGAGTTTAGTGGCATCAAACCTGGATGGTGTGAAGGTAATGGCCCATCACGACCCTGGTCTAGGACTGGGAGAAGGAGGTAGATTGGCAGACTGAGCCCGTCACTCAAAGGCCAGTCTGCTGGAGGGACCACTTGTGTCTGCTTGCATCCAGAAGCGATGCCCGCTGCTGAAGGTTAGTGGGCATCGGTGAGGTTGGGTTGAGGGACCTTCTCGTGCTGCCAGGGTTGGTATAGTTGGTGTGTGAAGAGGTGAGTAATGTGTCTCCACTGCCATTTTATCAGCAATAAGTACATGTCTAGATACATTAAACATGAAAGAACATAGATCAATAAAGATAGGGATGAAGAGTAAATATACGTGTTATTACCTTGAATTCCCCACAAAAAATGTAAACAAAAGTGAATTATTTTTAGTGATCTAGAAGCACATTTTTGAAAAAGAGCCATTTTCATACCTAGACGTTTACAGGCATCTGTAAAAGCTGTAATTTTCAATGTAAAAAAGGTATGAATTGAAACGAATAAATAAGTACCCTAATGGGCAAAAAAACTCTAGTTTGAGGTTGTTTAAAATAACATCCCTTTTTTTCCCTCCTCACTGTAAGATTTTAAGGAAGGAGGGGTGTCAAGTCACAGAATGGTCTTTGTGTGTGTGGCCTGAAGTGGGAGAAGTTGAGAAGAAAACATAGCTAAAATTGCTTGAGTACTTACATTAAATTAAAGGTCAAAAAAGGATGAAAAATAAAAGTGTGGCATAGATACTCTTTAGTTAAGCACTTTGGGGAAAACCTTGCTTTATTTTATTTGGAGACCAGATTTCTTCCTACAAGTCAGAAGTCTTAAAGTTCCCCCTGTCCTGTGGCTAGGGCGTAGCTTTAATTTTACAGCGGCTTAAGTTAGTTGGTGGAATTCACCTGGCAACGTAGGAGATGCCCTGCAAGAGAGAGGGGATGCTAAGGGCTCTAAGCCTAAGATGCTCCTTTCTGTCAGGAGGAAGAGGAAGGTGAGCCGCTAAGTGAATCGGAGTTATCATCCACAGGTTTTTAAATAACCCTGTTGCATGTTGAAGGGGTAGCAGATGCAGCATCAGTAACATGGACTTGATCTGGGGAATGGCTGTGTGTCCTCACTTTGACTTCCAAGGGGATCTGAATGCTCTTGTTTCCTCTCTGAAGGATCCAAGAGCATTTTTGAGGATCAGATTCTTTCTCTGGAAGGCAACCAAAATAAATGGAACTGCAGCTCAACCCAACAGGCCGATGCCCAGCCCAGGGGCTCAGGTTGGATACGTGCATAGGAAGCCGAAAAGCAGCCGGCTACAGAATAAAGCCTGCTGCTTCTGTTGCCGGGATTTCTACTGCATTATGTGTTAGATGTTTATTTTCTTTCCTTCAGATAAAATAGGTGGATTTTTAGCACTGGTTTTTCAGGGGGAGTGTATGAATGAGCAGCAATAACAGGCAAAATCTCCAAAGAGCTGTAAATGACAGCACAGAAAGAAATAGGTGCAACCCAAATCTTAGCACAACTGATTAGCTGACAATAAGAGGTGGAGATCCATACAAAAAGAGTGACGAGGTAGGACCTGAATCTTGTCCTACCTGGATGTAGGAAAATCAGGAATAATTTGTCTCCAATGTCAAATGCAGAAAATTAGGATAATGCAGCAAAAACCAGGAGGAAGCCTTGTAACTTTGAAGGTGATAATCCAGCTTCTCCTCAGAATACACGGAAGCAGTGCTAACAGCATAAATGTTATTTTTAAATCATAGCCTGTCAAGACCTCCAGCCACTAATAGTAAATCCGCATATGGTTATTTTCTAGCAGGGGACATGCTGCTATCAGTTTGGTGTCACTTTTGATGTCACAAAAATAGTCTTCTGGATTCTTGCCTGAAATCCTCCGTTCAGCTCCATGTTGTGGCCTATGGATGTCTTTTTTGGCTTTAAGCAACTCCTTCAGCTAAGCTTCCAGCTTTGCAGGGATATCTAAACTAGCTCAGGCACAGTATGTAGACATTGTCCAAGTCTTTGTTATCATCAGGCTATTGTCTGTAAAGGAATGATGTTTCCTTATTTCATGCACTTCCCTGCTTCACAGAGACATCTGGAGAAAAGCATTAAAGAACCTGGGATTGCTCATAATCTCAACATTTAGTTAATGTTTTTCATAGGTCAGCACTAGCATATTGCTTTTCCATGTACCCCTTATTAAAATAACCATCAGGAAACAAAAATAACTAGATTCTCACGGTGATACTTGGGACTTTTGGGTTGGAGATCTGTTGCTTTTACAGTGTTGAATTATAAGTCAACCTGTGCATCCCGTGGAGATAAGCATGATGCAACATCACCAACAGACACAGTCAATCAATTTGAAGTTACGTTTAACATCTCTTGCGATGGGATATATCCAGTACCTGACAATTCCTTGTTTAGTAGCCTGGTGTTGCATTTTGTGATGCAGTCACGGTCAGAAATTTCTGCTGACTTTGGCCCCTCCTGTGCCGCAGGCCTGCAAGCTTCGGTACAGGCAGCCCTACCGCCCTAAAGGGTTTGCCATCTACAAAAACAAAATGAGAAGAGTTCAGGAGCAAGCAAGTGGAGCTACTGCTCATTTTATCAATAGGTATTTGCTCAAAATCACAGAGGAAGTCTCAAGGAAAGCCAAGGATTAAACTTGTCTCTTGAGTTTTGATGTAGTCCTTAAATACAAAAGCATCCTTCCTGCAGTCTTTAAGCGGGCAAAGCTCCAGTTTAGTTCAGTGAGAGTTACATGGGTCTAATAACTTAAATTATATGTATCTTTACTCTTTCCATCAATCTTGAAGAACTTTCTTTTTTTCTTTTTTGTTTTTTTTTTTTTTTTCGAGAGGAGATACAGAGAAACCGCTGCCTTTTTGCTCAGTGGTAATGTTCATTTGACCTTTTGCAAAGTTCCTATTTCTCTGTTATGCAACCACGCTGGCATGCTATTACTCCTTCTATCCTCCTGGGTAATATCGTTTACTGATGTTCTTTCCAAGTATTTTATTTTTAGAATATAGCTTAAAAATTGCGACACGGAACTAATTAAACCTCTGTTCATTAGTTTTCTTTTATCTTTTACATGTGACTTTAGAGAAGGGGAGGCCAAAGGGGGGCCATAAAAGCAGTCTTCAAATATATCTAAAAAATCATTGCAAAAATTTACGTCATAAATCATTCTCCATGTCCGCCTGGGACGGCACTAGGGGTAATGGCCTTAAATTGCAGCAAGGGAGGTTTACTTTAAGCATTAGCCAAAATCGTCTAACGAGGAGGACAGTTAAGGGCAGGAATGAATTGCTTGGGGAGGCTGTGAAATCTCCGTTAGTGGAGGTTCATGGGAGCCGGCGGGCTAGCATGGCTGTGGCTCAGGGGGGGCCTGATCCTACCCTAGGGCAGAGGGACGCACAAAATGGCTTTTCACGGCCTCCTCTCAGCCTCCTTTTCTATAGTTATGTGAAGTTATTCCATACAACTCTGTAACACCTAAAGTCAAGGAACTGTACAGAAGCTCAGACTGGAAAATAACGTGTTTCATACCAAATCTTGTTCGGCATGCTGTCATTTTGTGGCGTCTGCCACCGCTGAGGACACAAAAATTGCAAGCGCTGTCAGC